ACTTCTATAAGTGAATGGACCGGCAATAAACATGATTGATATCGTGAATTGTAACAAATGTTCGAGCTTGACCTTTGCAGGCCTGCCGTTTCATCTAGATTTTATATAACTCTTTGTTTATTTTCGGATTGTTGAAGAGCTTTGCCTGCTACTCAAGGGGTACTCACGGTGGATAGATTACGCTGAGTGCTTATTACTCATTGCTTGGTTTCCGTACTGAATAGATCCGCTATCACTTGGACTAATGGCCGTCGGAACGGGAAATTATGAGAATGGCATCACTAGGCTAGTCTATGCTAATCCTAAGTCTATGTTTCACTTTGAAGGCTCAAGGACGATACAATGCTTGAGTATATCTTTATCATATTCAATGACTTTTTAATAAGTTAACTTAGTGCAAGTTTATAATATATTTGTTGTCATAACATCGTAAAATCATTTCAACTCCCTGACCTTTCATTGTTTGATAAAAGTTCTTGATTATGTTAAAAAAAATCAGTCCATTATATAACACAAAAGTAATATGGCAACATAGTGTATTAGCATACATGAATATATTTAGTCACACGTGATATTCATTCGCGGAGTTCATAAAGCACTCGTCGAACAAAAACGGTCCGTTATTTTATGGTTATGATTATTACGCGTCTAAATTTTTGCAAGAATTTTCTATTTGAATTATCACAAAGAAATTCATGGTATCCGCCACCCACACTTTATTTTTGTTTGTGTATAAAATACTTATATTCATTGGGCAGTCGAGGTCGGCCCGTGTCACCGCTTAGCCTCAAGGGGAAGCCGAAACACATTTGTGGAACATGTCTCCTCCGTAGCGAGTTCACCGCGCATTTCCATGATAATGATGTATTATGCAGCAATGTGCGTGAAATTTATTCACAGTTGCTCGTTATTCACACGCTGTGGCAGGTCACGCTGATGTCACTTCATTCAACACGTTCAATAACTAATTATTTTGATTTCTCTTTATTAAATTGTAATGTTGTATTTCTATAAAAGTAAGAACAATGTTGATGGTGATAAATATAGAAGCAGTTTTCACGTTTTTATGCGAAGTGCCTACGTCAGGCCAGGCATGCTGAATTCGTACTCAAATGTTTTCAACATGCTGAAAAATGTATGTGTTTCGAACTTTCGAACGTGTGCAACTGAAACGGGTTGCGAACGAATAATACACGATGCAAATTCATATAATTCAATCGATTGATCGGTTTTACATCGACAGAATGTCACGCTTTGTACGATATATGATCCTGTCGTCAGTGCCGATGTAAATCGCCACTTATTTTTACCGTTTAACAGGTGTCAGTCGAATTGTCAAAAGATTTGTGTTACGGTTCGTAACTTTGACTAATCAAGCGATTCAAGTAGAAATCATACTTTCAACATAATCCTTCACCTGTTCTGCTATCATTAAGTACATCAGAAAGTGATTGCTGGCGCCACCATCGCCATGTCCAGTGTTCACAGCATGCTAATAAACACGTCTTGTCGCGCGGCTCGATCGCGGCCATTTAGAATTTCACGTAATGTAGTCGGACAGGTGAGCTTTCTTGTCAAAGTGACTAGTCTTGTGAAACGATCATGTACATGTTTGATATATCTAGCGGGAGGAACTGTTTCTACATTACATTTGACTTTGTGATTTAGAGTTCCGCAGCTACAAGGAAAATTGCTTTCATGGAGGTCTGTCATATTTGACATAGAGATAAGGTGAAAGACAGAGCTATTTGTTTCTTTTTATATATAACAATGAAAAAACATACTGAGACTGTGGTTGGAAACTAGTAGAACTTTTCTCAGTATTTTCACTAAAGTAACCCGCGATTTTTAGTTAATTTAGAATGTCTCACGATACGATAGTTATTATAGAAACAAAATGTTAATTCTAAAACAATGCTTATTAAAACTATAGTTGGGATGTCAAGTAACATTTCACAATACTACGAATAACTTTAAGCAGTTTTGACATTCACTGAAATTATTCACGCTTAAATTATAAATGGATCACGCTATTGTTACAATCAAAGCGAAACGTAGCTCAGGTCAAAATTGTACATTAATATTTTAAAATTTACTTTTACATTTTGTTGCCTTACCACATCCCTGCTGAATAAAATATCTGTGAAATGGCGTGGTGGTGTTTGCGTTTAGAGTATAAACGTTCTGAGCTATTCATCTCATTTTGAATTACCGTGAAATGTACGGAAGATGGGTGACATTGAATATTTTAGTAATTGGAAGATGAGTCAAGCTGTGTGGGGGCGCGTGAGGCGGAGCAGGCGGCGACAGGTTCTATTTGCATACCTCTGGGTGAATAGTCCACGGCTCACTGCCTATCTAAAAAGCGCTATAAATATATGACACACCGTGGCTGGGCCACACAGACCACTGGCTCAATAAAGTTATAATAGGTGTGTCGTGATTCCTATTACGGCTGGAAACTCGCAATAAGTTTTACCTTCTAGAGCGTGAAACGGTTCACTCATTACATACATGAACTTACATAGTCTTAAATATTTACTATCGATAATTTAATCCACATAGCTAAGCCTCTTAATGGTTACGTTATTAATTATGTCGTTCTCTAAGATCGGACGGGGTAAGAGCTTGAGGGTAATCTGTTCTTGGGGTCGGTCTTAAATCTCGACGGGAGCGCCTAATCTCTGCGTCATCAGCTTGAAGTTTTTATTACTCTCGTAATGTTAGATTATTCTATTAAATCGTAATAACTTAGGATATTACAAAATACTTTTTCTCTTTTAAGTCCCCTCGGCAGGAACGAATAACAACCTAATTATATTAATGAGCTTCCTGAAGTGTTTCGTGCTTATTATAGTAATATTTTTGTTCTGTGTGTTATGTTAATGTATACTTTTCCCAGTGGCAACCCTCGAGCGTTCTTTTACTACGCTTGTGTACCGGCACCGGCCATGTTTAATTGAATTTCTGTTTTGCATGTGTTTGCATTTTGCTTCAGGTGTGTTTATAGTCCTTTTTGAAACCTTTTTTAATTACTGACTATAAAATTGACTATTATAACAATTTCCCGCTTACAAAATTAATGATCTAATTCCAGAATAAGAACTGTGCATAAAATATTAAAATATCATCCATGTGATGGACATAAAAGGAAGCTTCGAAGTTAAATTTAAAGATTCTTGATATAAGTGTTGGAGAGCCATGCTTCGGCAAGGATGGGCCGCCTCGATCGGAATGATACCACGGCCTCACAGAAAACCGACGTGAAACAAGGCTTGCGTTGTGGTTCATCGTGTGAGTGATGTTCTCGGAGACCCAAATACCCCCCCTTCCCAATCTCCCCTATCCCAAAATCTCCAACAATCCTCAAATTCGAATTGATCAAATGCAAAACGCACTTGCGTTACCGGCCTTTTGTCAATGAGCGGCGCCAATTGTGACGATCAGGTGATCCTCGATGCGATTACCGGCTTATCGCATAAAAAGAATTAAAATTGAAGCTTGATATCGCCGTAATAGAATCTTCATTGAAGATAGGTAGAATAACGTTTCTATTAGGTCCGTCCGGGCAATTTCGTTGCACAACACAGATTATAGAGGTATTGACGGATTTACTTAATAAAGTGTAAAGTATACACGGCTGGTCCGCTATCCATTCTGACAGGCAATTTTCAGCCAACATTGATGGATGGCGCTCTATTTATTGAGTTATTCTTTCCGACTACCTGCTGCGAATGTTTGTTAAAAACGGTTGTCATTTGTCACAGTGATGTAATGACAATTGTTGGAGTAATTAAGGTTTTGTTAGAGTTACATACATACATACAACCTCACACCTGTCTCTCTCGGTTAGGCAGAGACTATGGAACGTTTCGCTTCCTCTTAAAGTTAAAGCATATTAAATATAGAGAGCAAAAATATTTTGTATTTGAGCAATATGTACAAACTTATAGCCAGTCAGAGAATCCTAAAATCTACTAGAACATTATTAAATCCCGGATATTCTCTCTCTGAAGACTACATTGTTACTATATAAAGGAAATCGTTAAATCTATTTACCTAAATACCTACGTGACCATGATACGATAGGCGCCCAAACTATTCAAATTGGGTTGAACTAAGCTATGACCTACTCGAATGCTAAGTGGCCCGAAAGCAGTCGAAGGAATTCAATGAGTTCCCTCACTTCACGAAATATTTCAATCTATTCTCAAATCTATTGGATGGTTCCGTCACGTCCTCTCGCCATGTACAGGCTTCTATTTACACATTCGATACATAACCGACCCTTTTTATTTTCTTTTTTCTCACTTTTATAAATAGAATATTGTTATGGTAGGTTCTCGAAGTTGCCAGTTACGTTCGATAAAAAAGTATACATTATTCCGCCGGTAGGACAGTTGTTTTTCTAACAACATGCAAAACATATATGTATCGTCAAAAATATACTTTACTGCTTCAAATTCCACTAGAAAAACGAAATTTATTTGTTTGCTATAATAATTTCAGCTAAAAAGAGTTAAAACGCGAGCTCCCGGAAGGAATTAGAGAGACCTAAATACGTGAGGACGGATTTATGTTCATACGAAATGTTTATAAAATATACACTGATAAATCTGAGCGTGATAATTATGTTTTGACTGTTTCTTTAGAGGTTTTCAGCTCGATAGATGATAGTTAAAACGGTTTCTTCAAAATATTAGTGATTTTCTCTAGAAAATTAGACTGCTTCGTCATAGTTAAAGAAGCAGTATAAAAGTCATTAAGGATTTCGAAAATATCTTAAGTTGCATAGAGCCCAGATAAAATAAAAATAATAGATGCATTCTCAGTGATTTTTGTATTTGAATTACCTTCTGTAATAAGCAACCAAAGTCAAAAGGAACAGCAGTCAACAAGTTCAAATCTAATGAGAAGCAAAAATAATCACATTACGCTGCGCATAATCTTGTGTAATCTCGGCAATAAGTGTCTATAATAGATGTGTTTATTGTTAACAGATGGTGGGCAACGTGGTTGTGTTCGTGTGTGTAAACGTAGTGGGTGCTCTGATGCACTCGCTGATGGAGACTGCACAGCGGCGCGCCTTCCTCGACACCAGGAACTGTATCGCTGCCAGACTCGACATGGAAGACGAGAATGAGAAACTAGTAAGTTACGTTATTTTTTTACTTATATTTTATAGGGACTCTTACTGTCCCCGTGTCAACTGTGTACCCAATTAATTAAAAAACGACTTAACCGTGAACGATTCGAGAAAAGCTCTACAAGTTTCATGTCACACCGGGACTCTAACTATGTGTTCGTTCAAGAGAAGTATCAGTAGAAATGCCATATGTTATAGGCCGCAATTTATTAGAGCTTCGATGTTAATCCGAATTATGTAGCACGGAGACTACTTAATCCTTTGTTGCATGGGACTCATAACCATAGAAAAAAGACTCTACGAAACTCATGGAAAAAGCAGCCATAAAAGTCTTATGAAACTAATACTGCACTACCCTGTCATTTCATTACCATAGTTATGACAAGGACGACTTTTTCAAAGCCTTTATCAAGCCCAAGTTTTGATGAACAGGAACAAATGAATGAACCCTTATATAGTTTGAAGAAAAGTTTCGCAATCTAGGTCCCGGCCTTTGCAAATGAAATTACTTGATGAAAGGCTTCATACATGTAGTAGGTACTTAGTCAAAAGTTGCCAAAACGTGTGCTTGAGTCTGAAGATATTAGCTATGTTATTACCTAACTTTTGTTTCTTGGTATAAAGTTTCATAGTTAAAGAGGATGATAAAGCGGTATAGTATTAATAGGATCTTCTATTTTTATCTAGATTTCCAAGACTTGATTGATTCTGATTTATGTGTTAGAAATTTGTATTGAAGTTTAATATTTCAGCGATTTTAACAAGTGGTTAGGTTTTAGTTTACGGGTATAATTTATTCAAAAACCTATAGAAGTGCCATAGATTATTGGAAGTTAAAATATGACGTGTATTTCAATCAAGCTATTTCTTGCAGAAAGTAAAGTTTGCTATCGTATTGTGATTGATAATAATAAATCTTCCCAGAAACTAAACTTAACTATAAGTCTATATGTATGTATAAAAGAAAGTCGTTTTATAACTCAAGAACGTCAGAATAGATTTGGCTGAAAATTGGTAGGAGACCGACATAGGATACTTCTGACCAAATTTTTTTATACTTTTTACCGAAAATCACGAACGGGGACGGGAAAAAATGGGATTACGCGTACGAAGTCGCGGGCAGAAGCTAGTTAATTATATATGATAGAAAATATACTTTTAGAATCTCCTTAGTATGTTTTTAGCGCGTACAAAGTCATGGTCACAACACTCAGATCGCTTCTAACCGAATAAATCAAACAACATTAAGCTCAGGCGCTCATTTATGATTTTCCTTTCATTCTGTAATCCATATTTAATACTTCTATGAAAAACTTAACAACGTTTCTGACCAAACAGCTTATCACCAATAAATACCAGTCACTTTTTTACCAAAGATGTAATTCGCAGAGAAACCAATTTTAGGAAATGTATTTCTGCAATACTTTCCCGATTGGTCTTTGATATAAATGTGATAAATAGCGGTGGTTTATTCAACCAAGATTGTTCCTTGGTCCTTCGCGAAAATCTTCCGCTCGGGACCTTTTACGTAAGCCTTAAAATGACGCTAACGATATTATGTCTGATAAAAAACCGCTTTCCTAAATGTTTGGTGTTATGTTCCTTGTTTCTCGTGGCTTTAGGGAACCATGTTTAAGGTTTTATGTAAATTGAAGTAAACATTGAAAGATGAAGTAACCATCTTGTTTATTTTTCTATTAGTCAAGTTTTTGAGATCACTCACTGCTCTCATTGGCCGACTGGTCGCAAGTGCGACTGCCGGGCAAGGGGTCTCGGGTTCGATTCCCGGGTTGGGCAAAGTATTACTGGGTTTTTAAAAAATATCTCAGTAGTAGCACGAAGTCTGGGAATGTGCCCGGTATTTGGCAATAGGCTCACCCCCTATTACATGGGACTCATAACATAAATAGTGAAAAGTGGGTGTTATATTGTACAGTGGCATTAAGAGCCATAATGTGCACCTCTGCCTACACCTTCGGGGATAAAAGGCGTGATGTTATGCTATGTTTGAGATCACTCAATAACCAAAGGTCGCCATCGCCATCATGTGCATTTTAACTTCTAAGACTCATTTTACTAAAAAAGTCTACGTCATGTGTCTCATGTCTGTCTGACTCACGGAAAATATCCTTATGCCACAACCACATAACACTCATAGGATGTGATTAATTGAAACCGCAAATAATAGTCTGCAATTGACCGCAATGTACGAATAACAGTAAATGCATTATGACGTCACAATACGTCATCTATTACAAGGATTAAGGAGGTTTATTATTGAAGTAGGTAATATTTTATTAATTTGTGGAAAAACAAAAACAAAATGTTGGGTTAATACAAAGGGAAAGTTTTGTTGAACAGTCGACATCACGGCTGAATATAATGCAAATTAAAAAAATTGCTGAGTTACTGAATTTGTTTTTTTTTTGTATTAAGCCGGTAAACGAGCATGGTTACCTGATGGTAAGCAATCGGTGTCGCCCATGGACACTTGGAACACCAGAGGCGTTACAAGTGCGTTACCGGCCTTTTGGGCATTAGGAATTTGAGGTTTCAGGGATTGGAGAGATTGGGGAAGACGGGAGGTGGGGGGAGCGGGAATCGGGCTTTCGGTAACCTCACTCACACGACGAAACATATTTTTGTGAGGCCGTCGTAAACATAGCTCTACGACACTAAAAACTAAAACTGTCTATTTAATATTAAAATTATACTGAATCATGTTTGGCCTTAGACGCTAGTATAAAACAGCTTTAACAATTTTGGTGAAAAAAAAAAACACTTGAGCTTGAAAAATTGTTCATTCAATTCACCGTTACTTAGAATGGATTACTTAGTACATAAAAATAGTGCTTTTACAGTTACTGACACATGAGTAGGTATGATCGAGAAAGTGTAAAAACTTCTGCTTGAACCTCGGACTTCAACGTGTTCATTCAGCGTATAATGATGCTCAGTGAACACATCGTAAACATGTTATAATGTGGATGATATGTTATTTTACGGTACGAGTGACTCGCGCATTTTTTTTTTTGGTTCGTTTATTAATGTAAAAGTGTCCTGTTCATCCATCCGTCATTTGGGAACTGGAATATCTAGTCTAGCTTTGTTCTTTACATAATTTGAATAAGTTTCATTACATTTTTCCTTATCCTAAATCCCGAGAATTATTCTATTTCTGTAGTATCTTTGTAAATAGGTAACGAAATATTTACACTCATTCCGAATAACTAGTTACGCTAATTTATAAAAGGAAGCAAAACTCAGTCTGTGTATTTTTTTAACCACAAACAGACATTTAACATTTATTTATGCGTCTGGCAACATTGGATTAACGGCTGCATATTACCAACTGAATAAAACTAAGAAACATTTGGAAGCAAGTCTATCACAAAGCCAGTTGAGTGTATAATTCCATTATGTTGCAAACATGGAAATAATATTATTATGTAAATGTTGTTGACTAAGTCAAACATAAATCGAGCTCACAATATCGATTTTATTCATGTGTTTAATCGAGTATTGAAAAAGTTGTTTGTCGCCAATATTGTCGTGTTTAAATAAATTGCTTACATTAGTACCACCACTTATAAGGACCAAAGGTAGCGCATATCAATATCATAGTATCGACTGAAGACTTTGAACTTTATTGAAAAAAAAAATTGCAAAATCATAAAACTAAAAATCCATTAGAACTTTTGTCAGATATCGTGTAACTAGAGGTGCTGGCGTGTAGTAGGTACTACAAGCGACGTCTTCATAAGATCGTATAATGAGATCAATTTAAGTACAACAAAATTATTCGCAGCCACACACACTGTAAAAACTTCATCGACGCACATGTACATATATGGACTTAATTTTCTTCATGTAGTAATTTTCGAATCCTTTGTATTTTTGATGAAACTTCTTTGCTTATTTTGCTCATTAAGAAACAATTTGTTGAGAGTGAATGTTTGTTATTCGGGTCTTTCCTTACTACGTCACTACGTTAATTTTAACTTTACATGTAAACAGAATCTTAATAAGCTTCGGTCGAGTATTATAGTATTTTCATGCAGTTACTGTTAAATATATCTGACCCCGCAAACGGCTAGGGTTTTTAAGAAGCTCTGGAAGGCCTAACGGGTTGCCGGGGCTCCGGCTAGAAAAGCAAGCGGGGTTGTTTTTAGTCAGTAAGAGTCTGACACTCCCTCTCACGTAACACAAGGCGGAAGAAGTCATTGGATGATTTCCCCCTCAAAAAATGGGTTTTTAAGAACCAATTAAACTTTATTTGCTTTAAATAACTATGGTTTCCTAGGGGAACATTTGTAAAAACCAACCCATTATGGGGAAAAAGACTACTATCATTTGAACTTTATTGTAATTCAGTTCTATGTGGCTAATCGCCATAAAAACATTTTTATGTTTTCTATTTATAATATTAAAGTATTTATTGTTGTCTACATACTTAAAATATCTAGTTTTATGAGTTTACTGGACTCATTTTTTACACGATCTATTGCCAAAAGTCTAATAAATATAAATCCAATGACCAATTCATAATAATGATTAGATTAAGAACAAAAAAATAACGTTATGTATTCGTTTATTGTGTTTTTTCTTAGGAACGATTGCTGTTGTCGGTGCTCCCTCAACACGTGGCCATGGAAATGAAAAACGACATCATCTCGCCGGTCGAGGGCCAGTTCCATAAGATCTACATCCAGAAGCATGAACAAGTCAGGTAAGGTCAAGTTAGATAAGCCACACATCCCACAATACTTGTGCCATATACAGTAATATGCGACTAAAACTAATTAGGTTGTGTTCGCCAATTTAGTGGCAGTCTCTCATCTTGAACGCGACACGACTTTGGCCTACCTCCAAATTGATCTCGAAACGACTCTCTCTGATTCAATAGACCTATACAACCCAGGTCATATCGATATATAATTAAAACCCTGACGTCAATCAACGCTAGTACTAACAGTTTCTACGTGCAAGTACTACACTAACATTTCAATGTCATTTGTCATTTCACGAATTGCCTGGAAAGTTTGTACGACATAACAGAGATCACAGCGTCTCCAAAATTATGCAAATTTATAATCAAACAACAAAGGCATTGGGGCTGTTTTTGGCAGCACTCGTCTATCGGGAAAATCTTAACGTTAAAACTAAGGATGCTCATGATTAGGAAAGCGGTCCTCTTCACAAGTAAATTAGGAAGGTCAAGCGTTCTGACGAACAAAAGGAAGTAATGACGCACCCTTATCACTTCTTTCCAGGAATTGTATGAACACAGACATATGTAGTATGTAACCAAAGACATGATGTGTGTTGTAAAGTAATGTACTTGAAAGTAGGCGCAGCTGGCGGTATATTGAAGTCCTCGATAACAGATTATAATAATATACTAACGCTTTTATGATATGAGGGCTGGATATAAATGGGAAAACGAAGACTTGCTGCGTTGAAGTGATAATATAATCGAACGAGTGAAAATGAAGATAGAATAGACGTAGTAAAATGTTATCCAGTAATATTCCAATTTCAAGGAACAATTAAATCTCTTGCTCATCGTTGTGGAAATTAATTCTCGTTGCCAATCAACGCTGATGAGTTAAACACTTTGATTAAAGACGATCCAGAAGTACACAGGGGAATACTTTGATATCTGTAGACGTTTAAGTTCAAAGAAAATCGGAAATGTAAAAATAAACCGAGTAGTAGCTACCTAATCGATTTGCAGACGAATCGAATCCACGATAAGTTCACGTTCAAGTAGCGGTGAAGCGAGTTCAATAATTTAAAGTTGAGATTAATTTAAACCTGAATTGGTCCGTTCCCGGTCCAGATTGGTTAAATATTTATAAAATTTATTTTCAATGCACTATATATACTACGGTGTGAAATGTGGCCGTTAATTCTTTGATTTATTCCGACGTTTTAGGGTGAGTCGGGTAGCGGTCTTTATTTATTCACTTGTATTTACATGATTTACTTGGTTCTCCCACCAGGGGAACGAAACATTGATTTTATATATAGACAGCACTTTTGATTTACTTTTCTAATTTTCCGAGAAATTGTGGTTTAAATCCCGTGATTACGTGAACGATTAAAACTTAAAACATTTGCATTCATTGAACCATTACTCACATAGTATAGTTGAAGTTTATTAATGAAACCTTTGTTAAGTTTTTAAATATTTCTGACAATGGACAGTAAAACTTGCCATCAATTATACATACAGATGTTTCATACACAATTAATTCTTCACATATTTCTCTAGCCTAGTAAATTACTTCATGTTTCTTGGTATAAACGTAATTATTTGTGTCTGGTTAAGTTCCCATCACCGCACCGTGAACGTAGGCAATCGCTAACTGCTCACATTATCGTAGCATGGCACGCTAAGTGGTCCACGCATTACGATTACTGGCTTATCACATACTAATTACTTACTGCGCCTTTCTTAATTAGCTTCAAATATGTAGGGTTGAATGTTTTTGAGTTATAGCCAGGTTTCAGCGTATGTTTACCTTTGAAGCTTGGACTAATTGAATAAAGTGATTATGATATGTCATAGACAGCTGTAGTCCTATGAAGACTGGAGGTATCAGGGAATTGTGGCGTCTGTTTAATGACACTTAGTTGATATGTCAAACTAAAACCAAAATTTTACTAATTTTATCTCGTTGTAGTATGTGTGAATAAATGAAATGTACTTTGATTACCACTTGCACCATTTTGATTACGTTGGTTGTAATAAAATAGTTGTAGTTTTATTTTATTTATTTTTTTTATTTGTGCTTTTTGCACAATAGGTATACAATGGCAGACTTGATGCTTATTGGCATTCTCTAATAGTCAACCTGGTGATGCAGAGAGACACAATAGTAGATGTAAAAGTTTAATATTGTTGTGAGTTTTGAACATAATTTTATATGTAGATATATATAATTATACATATCACACAATATATACTTATTTAATATAATGAAGAAGTATTGCAATATATACGTAATTCACAACGAATAGTAGACAAATAAGTATGGGACATATACATACTTAAATATACGAAAGCAAATATATAACATAATATAATGTATATACATACATAATTATGTTATGTGATATAAATCGAGTGTCTGAAAATATTATTTAGTTCATACAAATTATAAATTCCTAGAAAGATATCAAAATAGGACTAGAAAAATATTAAATTAGCGTTGATGAAGCGGCTGGCAATCACATGATAATATATAGGTTACAAAAATATATTGCAATAAAACTTTTTCAAAGTGAAATAATGAGACCGGATTCTTATAATAATCGTAATAAATGTTTGCTAGCTTCCAGTCTTGACAAATGGTGTAATAAAAATATTTACGTTTCCAGTTTACACAGCATTATTTTGATGAAAGGCTTTTCAGGTTTTTACGCCATTTTTTACTTGAAAACGGGTCCTGTCGCCAACAGGAATCTGTAATATAGAATAAGGGAAAATGTTTGAAGTATAATAAAACATAATAACATTATATTGTGCTTGCGGCATTTTTCGGTAAAGGAAGACAGAGGTTTACATATTTATTTTGAATTTACTTTTATTCAATTATGTTCTCGTTTTTGATATTATTTACTCTCTTCATTCTGACAATTCTCTCACAGTTTGCAAACTTAAAGTATTCCAGTATCATACAGAGGCCATAGCACGAGTTTTATTTACGTTTAAAGTATTCGAAACGAGTACTTTAAACGTAACGTCGCGGTCGGCGCTGTGATTGGTTGATTCATTGGCGCCGGCCAATCACAGCGCCGAACGCGTTCTCGTTTCGATTACTTCGTTCGAGTGAAAACTGAACGCTTCCAAAAAACAAAGACAGGTGACAGTAAAAAAAGTTTTATTTCGAAAAAAAGTAAGGTTTAAATGTTTATTTTACGTAATAATAGTTGTAACTAAGCAGTTAGATGTTGCATAAATAATATGAAAACAAACATTATTAAAAATGTTAAAACAAAAATTGTTTTTCTGCGTTTTCCGAAGCATTCCGTTTACGTCTGTATTATTTTCCCCTGTTTAAACTAACTGTGACTCCTCTGGTGTTGCGGGTGTCCATGGGCGGCGCTGATCGTTTACCATCAGGAGATCCGTCTGCTCGTTTGCCTCCATCCAAAAAAAAACTAACCACAATCATGGTAACATTTACTCTCTTCAAATATGAAAGATACAAATGGGAAACACTTTCTTATTTACTCTTAAAACAATAGCAAATGATCGTGAGAACTAACTAATAAGATTTCATTTAACAAAATATCTATTCATACTAAAGGTATTGTTATATCGTGTATTCTGACTCAGACAATTATATCTCCAATGTCTCCTAAAGTCTAGAATGACTAACAATTAAATTAGTTAAACTTGGCACAGACATAAATATGTGCTCAGACGTTCAAGTTTGGCAAATTAAGTTAACATGTAACTTATATCATCAATATAGACTCCATCGATTTCCTAAGACCTGTATAAATATTTATTAGACTGAGTAAATGTAACGAAAAGGATTTCCTTGGCAAGGATACAAAAAGAAACTGTTCTTAAGAAGAAAGTTACGATACTTGAGCATTGGTTGGGACTTTAGTCTTAGAAATACGATAGGGGTTCATATACGGCTTGTAATACTAATAACAATGGCGGCGTGTAGGTACTGTTATACCGTTTCTACTAATTGCATGAATGTTATATTCATTTTCTCAGTTCTCTTAGAGAATACTTCCAATGTTTCGAAATTAATTACAAAGTAATTTTATGACACGAAACATATTTTAAAGCTATTAATGTTTTATTGTTCTAAGTCATGGTCGTAAGCTCAATTTTCTTGCACTTTGAATTATTTTAAAGGTCTTTACAGATTTCGTTTAGCTTACATTAAGTCGAAAATATAGATCGATTTTATGTAAGTCCTAAATCAAAAGTTTTTTATAAGCTGGTAAACGAGCAGACGAATCACCTGATGGTAAGCCATAGGCGCCGCCCATGGACACCTGGAACACCAGACGCGTTGCAGGTGCGTTACCGGACTTTTGGGATCATGAATTTGAGGATTGGTGGGGATTCAGGGATTAGGAAGAGGGAAGGGGTGGGGGGTAATTGGGCTTCCGGTAACCTCACTCACACGACGAAACACAACACAAGCGTTGTTTCACGTTGGTTTTCTGCTAGGCTGTGGCTCTCCCGCAATTAGACGTGCATTGATTAAAGAATCTGAAACTAAACATTTCAAAATCTTTAAGTACTGAGACTTCTGTCTTGTCGATTTTCCAATTTCACTTGTCTTTATTATCTTACTGAAATAGTAATCCGACTAATACTTTGTACTTTCATGGTAACAAAGAGCCGCTGTTAATCCAGATCTTGCTTTTAATATGAATAGAATCAGCACTTTAGATGCTCTTAGCATTGACGTCACGCCGAATTTACATTTAACAGGTACTTGTCCAAATGAATTATGTATCCAGTCTCTACCCTTTATAACCTAGTGTTTATTTGGCCGTGAAGTTGTTTCTACAAAGCAATAGTATGTCTTGTTTACTAGGCGGTTCCAACATTTACTTTATTTTTTCTACTTTCGCCATTTTTGACATACTCTGCCTGGATAATCGGTTTTGTAAGACGAGTTTGGCATACTAACATGAGATGTTAGATGTACCACAGGTACCAAATCTAGGTGCTTAATAGGCTTC